CACTTTCATGTACTGTGGATACGTTTGCCGTTGACGCTTTGTTGAAGTCCACAACCATTTCAGCAACGGCATCATCATCAGACAACTCATCAAAGAATGAGCGCATCAGTTTAAAAGCTTAACATCACAATTCATTTCATACGCTCTTACTTTGATTCCGTAGCCGATGCAGCAGGTTATGAACTTCTTTCATTGTTACTTGATGGTTGGGGTTGTCCCGTATGTAGTTGTAGACACTTGCAGTGCCGGCTTTGGCTTCAACCAAGAGCTCAATCCCTGGCATCAACGGCGGATCATCCGGAACGTTGCGAATACCTGGATAAGACCTGTATATTCCTTCGGAGACCCGGTGGTTGTGACTGTAGCCTTCTCGCTCCACCACGATACCCCAGATGCCGTCGCGTTGTTTGGTCACTTGTGCCAACATCTGAAATGGTCAGTCAGTCGTGTTTAGCTTGTGTGACGTCTGCTTACCCGTAGACCTGTCACGCTCTGACCATCCGTGGGTACAGATAAACTTGCGCTGATAGGGCTCCATTTCAGTAGGTACGAGCGGTATCTCCGAGTCTGGGAGCCCTTGATACCGAACTTGGCTGCAAAAGTGAGCGCTACGACGAGCGATATAAATCACCTCCTTCACCACTATTTTCTGACGTGTAGCATCCATGTATTCCTTCAAGCTCACCTCCAACGAGGCCCAGGAATCGTGCTGAGCCTTAAACGCAGGAACTTCAGTCAAATCCTCATCCTCGGTATCTAAAACGGCCCTTTCCCTTGACGCTGCCGCCCCGACGGCTCTTCAGCCACTGGAGTCTGTGCGACATCTTCCTCCGACACATCCGCACTATCCGAGCCATTTCTTGGCCTCCACACCGGTTGATTCCGCGACATTCTCGTCTTCGTCCTCCTGCGCTTCCGCGTCACCAGGTCGCTCCTCCGAAGTATTTTCGGTGGACTTTTCTCTTTTCCATCGTCTATACCCGCGGGGGTGAGATCTCTGCACAGTTTTTAATGCTTGAGCCCTTTCGAACCGCGTACGCGCATCCTGCACGCGAGCGATGTCGTCCCGTCGTGATTCCTTGGCTAGACGCTCTTTCTCCGCCATCGCAGCCTTGATGTGGGCCGTCTTGTGCGTACGCGCCATCGTCGCTCAGTCCCGGTTGACGCGTCCACGTGTTGCGATTCTCCCCCCCCCCAACTAGTGGCTGAGGATCAAAGAAGAAATGGCGGTAATTTTCAAGCGATATATTATACCTGGGCAATACCTGCTGTTATACCTGTATAATACCTGATAGGAGAAACCTGGACGAGAGGGGTGCTCAAGATAAAATAATTCGCAGTTCGTTAAAACTGTCGTTGGGTGAGTGTTCCCCAGGATTTTCGCGTCATCGAGTAACCTTCGGGCAGCCATCGCGCAACATTTTGCACGAGCGCAGGGTCTCCTTTGGGTCTCATTTGGTGTGCGGGTACATCGAACTAGTGTGCGTTACTTAATCCGGTGGAAACGAAGAGCTGCAAGAAGTCCCGGGTAGGCAGTGAGGCAGATGG